TAAACCAAGTTCGATTTGAAATCGTTTTTGGTACTCTGTGGACTGTGGTTCACCGAACGGTTGCTATCTAGTATCAAGACGGTCTGTCAGCCTATGATATTACTAAGTATATATTTTATGATATTATTGTGATTAAAGTAATTTATTTTACTATTATGCATTAGTACAACTACAGTCTACAGTACTATACTTTGTTCAGGTTAAGAGTGTCCAAACTCGAGCATGATGACTGAGCCGCGTAGCAATATACATGCTCGAACAGTACTAGTTTTTTTCCGAGCGACTGGGCACTCTTAACCTGAACAGAGTATAGGTTAAATTCATTTTTGCCAAAAAAAATTAAATTTGATAATGTCATTAAGTCAATAAAATATAATAAAATACTCTAAAAATATACCCACGAATAATATTTTTAAATTACAAGTTACAACAAAATACAAACTAAAATCATTATACTTGCAGGTTTTTATAAATGTTGTAGAAATTTGAACTTAATAATAGTAAATACATATAAAAAAAATCGCGCTTATGGATCTTTAATATTTATCAACCACTATTACAACAACTTATAAAAACCTTGTATTACATTTTCAAGCTTTTCGACCAAACGAATAAAACTGTATTGAAATTTATAGAATAAAAACTAAAAAAAGGCGCTCTGCTGTACAGTAGGTTACAAGTGGGTCACTGTATAATGGATGGTATTAAATTTGAATTCAATGATATAATATCATTGTATAAGAAAAACGATTCTGAGAGGAGACGGTATGTCCGTCTAGGTATAAGACATATTATATACTTATATATGGTATTAAAAAAAATGTACCTCAAATTAATCATATCACAATATCCATTAGGTACTGATAACGCTTTATACATCAACAACAAACCCCGATACTATCATAGATATATAAAAGTGTACTTTAGAAGTTTCAATTACCCACGAATAATATTATACAATCACAACAAAATAACTAAAATAGTTATTCTAGGTTTTTAATATGTAATTTCGTCCAAATTTGAACTTAAAATTACTATAAAAATAAACTGTGCATATGTATTTTTAGATTTATTGGTAACAGAATTAACTACTTACATGGAATCTTCTTTTAAATTTTCAATCCTTAGATATAAAATATGAACATTACATACATTTTTAACTACAAAATATTTTTTCAATTTTCAATTTGATAAATTTTGCCAAAATTCAATCTTTAAATGCTTATAAAAAAAAATTGTGTCTTTGTATTTTTAATATTTTTCAACTGATATTGTAACAATATATCAGGAGCCTTGTATTAAATTTTTACACTTTTTGGCCAACAGATAAAACTTTATTGATATTTATAGAAAAGAAAACTCAAAATGTCTGTAAACAGCTCAAAAAGAGTCAAAATATTTTCAAAAGTGTATGGTGTATAGGAAATGCATTCAGTGAAATTTTCATGTATCTACAGTTATTCGTTTTTGAATTACAACAAAATAAAGAAATCGCTACATGAGAAATCAAGTGAAATCCAATGTTGTAAAAATTTGAATTTCAAACACTCATACAAATTTAATTTGACTTTCTTATAGACATTTTTTTTTTTTTGATAAAGGTAGACAAACCTATGAGGGAACTTGTATTACATTTTAAAATCTTAGACTTAAAAAGAAAAACGTTTACGAATACTTAACTCAAAATAATTTGCTAATTTTCGTGATTTTTCCATATTTTGTCAATTTTTGAACTTTAAATGCTTACAAAAAAAAAACTGTGACTAAGGATTTTTAATATTTTTTTCATCTGCCTTTGAAACAATATACTAGGAGCCTTCTATTAAATTTCCAAGCTTTAGCATCCAACAAATAAAATTCTATTGATATTTTTAGAAAAAAAACTAAAAAAAGATGGAAAATGAAAATGTCCCTAAACAGTTCAAAATAAATCAAAATATTTTGAAAATGTTATCATGTATACAAAATGCAAATCTAAGCAACCAGTGAAAATTGCATGTATGTACATTCATTTGTTTTAGAGTTACACCAAAAACCAAAATCGATTTTGTGGAAAACCATTTTGCGTAAAAATTCCAGTTTTCCTTAATTTTATGTTGTATTTCCCGGCGCTTGTGAAACTATTGGGAATTTTAAATTTTGACCTCCCAAAGTACCAACTAGATTCACTTTCCTATCGAACAAGATACTGAAGTTAAAAATCGAAATATTATTTCGACTACCTAAACGTGTACACAGACACAAAAAAAAAAAAAACACATATCATTGTAAAATCAATACATTCATCGTACATTTTTGGCACACTTTTACAAAAAAAAAAATCATATTGTCATAAAAAAAATTGTTCTTGTAAAAATGTGGTATTATAACTTATAAGTTATAAAATAATTTTTTAGCATATTATTATACATAACAGTTTATTGAGAAAAGAATTGTTATGCGTTAAATAGATCGCGATTGTCGGTCACAGTATATAGATCTATTGAAGTATATAGACATATAGTTCATGTTATAATTATATCATATATATATATATGACTATATTATGAGATATATAATATTATATACTATACAGTTATAATTTATATTACATAAAAAAACGACCATACCTATGATATTATTATCATTATATTAAACGAAATAATGGAAATTATACGCAGAACAATAGGGTGGAATGGCCCTGGTCCTAAACGACCTAAACTGCCGTCAATGTATGATTTTTGTAAGTATGTGTGCAGAACTGACACCGTTGGCCTCTCTATTGTTATTGTACGTCCCGCGTGGACCTATTTTAAATTATTGTTCACATTGTGTTTACATTCGGTTCTCTTTTTTTTATGCCTGCACACGCGTATAATAGGTACCTATCTATTATCTACACGAATTTGGTTATCGTCGGTCACGTTCTATCAAAACGAACGTTACCTACATATTATTAATATATATTTATGAATATTATAATATACTGCAATATTAATATGTATATATACACACAGATTCAGCTATATTGTATGTACGTTCGTGGATGACATCACGCAGTGGTCCTTGAGGCCAAAGCTCACACGAGTAAAGTTTAACCGCAGTTATCACGTGCACGACGACTTGTTGGAGGTATACGCAACACACATATATGAATTTATTCATTATTTAGAGCCTCTCGACTCTAAATGGAACAAAATTTATAATATAACACACACACACATACATACATACATGCATACGAATGTCGACTATACGAATACGAGCATATTATTTATTATAAGTATTTCACGTGCGCGCATGCATATGATAATATTCGGGTCGTATATAGGGGCGTATTGTCAGTGGCGTATTTAGGGGGAGGCGACGAGGGAAATTGCCGCGGGGTGCCAAATTCTGAGTCCTCAAAGGGGCCCCGTCGCTAGAGGTTATAAATTATTTTTTTATTTTATTGGATTTGTTGAGAAATTATATTAGTGATAACTAATAAGTGAATGAACCTGTATCTTTCTTATAATATCTTTTACATTTCTATACATATTTCTATAAATATAATATATATATAATGTATTTTATTAAATTGTCGTAAAAAAATTTTCTCGGTTTCGGTTTTGGATTTTGCTATCAGTTTCAGTTTTTAAACGGTTTATACCGGTTTCAAGACCTTGACTATTTACGTTCATTCTTAGTTTATTAATTTTTTCGAATCGCTGGATCGAGCGTTCGATCGCCTATTGCGTAAAGTAAACTTTCCAAAATGTCAAGATACAAATATTTTCAAAAAAAATACCGTTTTTAAAATTATATTTTCGGTTTTCAATTATAATACAGGTATCCAATTTTTTTCGGTTGCGGCTTTGATTTTGTTCTCGGTTTCGGTTTTATAACGGTTTATACCGGTTTCAAGCAATGCACTATTAACTGAGAGAAAAAGTAAATTGTAAATTAGAGGGGGTTTAAAAGTTTTTTGTGAATAAGAAGGAAACGAGCAAAAAAGGGGCCCCAAAATGTGTGCACCTAAGGCGCCAAAATCATAAATACGCCACTTCGTATTGTATACGATAATATTATAATACAATTTAAACGACGTTTTGACTATTTTTGAATCGACGTGGTGGTAACTGGTAAGTAAACATGCAGTGCATGGCTCTCAGCCTTTTTAAAGTAACATGTTCACCAGTAATTTAATATTTTTAATTTTTCACGATTCTAAACATATTTTTTTTTTCTATAATATACATTATAAGCATGGGTTATCTTGAAAAATAACTGATTTCAACTATGTGTTGGCGACTCCCAGATCTCAAATCGTTGGAATACACGTAAATAGGCACGCGGGTGATGCGATGACTGATGATGAGGGAGACGACAGTGACAGTGACATACATATTATATATATTTTAAGATATCGTCCTATGTATATACATACACAGTATCTATACACATATGAATGCACACACAAAACCACAGAAAACAATTATATTATATTATTATTGTTTGAGTTGGAGAGTGCGCCGCGTCTATTATCGGAAAGTTGAAAGTGAGAATTGTTTTTTAGGGCTTATATATATATTCAATAATATTGTCACGATGTAGTCATAATGTTTATGCAGTGGCGCATTTAGGGGGGGGCAAAGGGGGCAATTGCCCCCGGCGGCAAATTTATAGGGGCGGCAGTTTTTGTACCTATATATTTATTAAAAATTATAATAATATAAAATATATCATTTTGTAATTTGTTCTAAAGTAATGTTAGCCGCTAGGTACCTAACAAAATATGAAGCAATTTGAAAATAATATGTAATTTACATAAATCATTTACACATACGAAATTGATCGCTAAACAATTTCAGGTTTGTTAATTGTTATGTTATAAATTCAGACTGCCTATGGGCTATGAAAACATAAATCTATTATTATTATTTATTACGTTGGCAACAGTGACATAAATTATAAGATAAGTACATATTTTGTTATCTTAGATAGAATCAAAAATGAGCTAGAAAAAAGAAAAATAGCCTATGGGCTATGATCAGTTATTTGAAAAATACTCGTTTTTCTTTCAATTGGAAAAATTGAACAGCGTAGAAATCAGAGAACAGGCAAAATGTCTTCAAGATATATATGCAGATGATTTAGGAAGTTCTTTTCCCAATGAATGTGTTCACTTTAAGTCACATATAAAGAACCTCAAAGTTGATGAAAGACCTAAAAATATTCAGCAAATGCTTATATTTATCAAAAATAATGATTTTTTTGAAATGTATCCTTACATTGTTATTGCGTTAAGAATGTTATTATGTACACCATGTAGTAACTGTTCCACTGAACGGTCTTTTTCAGCTTTAAAAAGAGTAAAATCATACCTAAGATCAAATATAAAAGAGGAAAGATTAAATGCGTTGGCAATCCTAAATATTAAAAACGACATTACAACAAAACTAAATTATAATCATGTTATTAATAATTTTGCTACTAGACAAGCACGAAGAAGATTTTAAAAGCTGAAAAAGACCTTTTGGAGGAAAAGTTTTTACATAACCTCAATGTTTAAATGATGTTTAATAAATTTACATATACTATTTATTTTTATTTTTTTTGTATGGGGGGGGGGGGGTAGGGGCGGCAAAAATACGTTGCCCCGGGGCGCATATTTTCTAAATGCGCCACTGTGTTTATGGGTAAAGGTATTTCTGACGACGATGAATCATCTCAACGATATTCCTATGAATTGTTTTATATATTTTTATTTTACCTTAATAATATAATATTTATTTTGATTTTTTTTGGTGTTTTTTGAAAAGTAATATATACTATATAAAAAAGAGATAAACTATACATGGTGGGTACAATATAATAATATTACATAATGGTGTTAACCATTTAATGTGGTGCCATCATTCATCTATTCAGTGACGCTCAATCCTTATTATCTTGTAATAATTTAAAATTTCTATTATATACATATACGTAAATACGTAATACAATAATTTAATGGCCCGATGGCCACGTTAACTATATAATATGAAATGTAACAATCGCGTAGAACAAGTCGTCATGATTCATGATTATGAATACTTATCTTAACTTATGTTGACGTATGATTATATAGGCTGAGGCTGTCTCACGATGCCTGTGTGGCTGTGTCACGATTGTTTTTTATAAATATATATGTAAAAAAAAATATATATATACCATATTAATTCTACAAATAATTATAATAGTAATTTAAGTTTGTATATGACCAATAGCAACTATTTAATAAACCAAAATAATCTTATTTTTTTGTGAGTTGAAAAAAAACCATATATAAATAACCCTATATATAATAACCCTATATATAGCTTAAAAATAATAATTCATTTTATTTTTTATTAATTATTAGAATATTCATTGTTCGTTATTTATTTATTAATTAACTTAAAATATTTTTTCAGGAAAGTATTTTCTCTGAAATTACCTCGTGGGTAAATAACATAGTAACCAATTATCAATTAAAGGTTAAAATTATATCAAATCATAATCATAATAATAATTGTAATTTGTATAACCAATGGCTACCATTCGAATTAAAAAAATACTAACTCCTACTATTCTCTGCTATTGCAATTATATCTCAAACCAATGAAAACATTTATAAAGAATAAAAATGTTTCAATGGCCATCGTGAATCTTAAAATCATTGTGATTTGTGTGAGCACCTTTTTAAAATAGAAAATTCGGAAAATCCTTTCTTAGTGCACTATTAAATAGTGGTATCATTGGTTTGAAATATCTATTATAAACTGATATACCTATAATAGTATACTTTGAAATAAATGGTGGTACGAAGGTAATTTATTAAAATAATTATTAAAATGTCAAGTTCATAATTCATAGGCTCTACGTAGATCACAGGACACGTTCGAATATAATATAAATATAAATACATAGATATTATATTAAAGAATCGTATAACGACTTGTCAGTGCACAACAAATATCGGTGCCTACCTTTTCAGAGGTGATTGTTAAATAACCGCATATGGCATATTTAATAAACATTATTATAAATAACTAAATTTTGTCCCAGTAATTTTCAAACGTATAATGTTATATTCACATGGTTTAATGGTAATAATGTACACTCATAATAGTATAATATATAGTATATTATACTGTAAAGGTACAGTGTTACAGTGTATACAGTGTCACTATGTAATATATGTATACTGTATAATATTACACTCATCTCCGCGGATCGCTAAAAATCAAAACCGAAATACGAGAACATGACTAAAACATCGAAACCATCTTGTATGCGGTCATTAATATAACCCAATATTTACTGTGTGTCATTCATATTATATAATACGAGTATGATACATTGATACCGTATACAGCTGAGTAGAACTAGAAGATGTAAATAATATACATGTCTTTATTTAAAAAAAATAATAATGAAATCTTTATGCTCAGTTATGTAGGTAGGTTCAAATTTCAGAAAAATCGAAATTTTAGTAAAAAAAACATTGTAGACATAATGAAGTTGAAATCACGAAACTATAATACAAAATAATGTATTATTTTTAGGAGATAAAAACGTTTGCATTTTAATATCAAAAAATTCCGGCATTATCATAAAACATAAAACCGAACGTAGGCTTAAATTATCTTACATTCCAATTACCTAGATATACAAATATTTGTCGAGCACAATAATGCGGCATATCTCATAAACGTAATGTCGCCGTATAATTTCTGCTGACAAATGATTTTAGGGTAAAAAATATAAAATTGGTATGTCGTGTTCTTTATATGTTATCGATTAAATTAATTTATAATATATTTAATCAATGTAATGTACTATAAACCATTAAACAACTACATTAATTCTATCATCAAGTCAAGATATATATATCATATATACAACTATTGCAATCTCTATATTGTGTGTATAAATAAATTGCAAATTACGTAACTATTATTTTTTACTGTCGATTGGTAAAAACAAGTACCTACTTTTATCACGCATATTCCACATTTCGTGGTACCTACCTGAACTAATAAGTGTAATTGTTTTTGTCAGTCGTAGTTATTTTTTTTTATATGTTTTTTGACAAACATAGTTTAATCACCTAGCTGTTACGTAACACACAAAGTATTCAATATCAACATAAATAATTTAATGATTATGCAAAAGTAAAAAACCTAACGATTATTGAAATGTTAAAAACTTATTATAACCCTATTATGAACATCGACTGAGAGAGGTTTTGCAAAACTATAATATGATTAAAAAACGTGGTAGGTAGCTAATTCAAATATATAGAATTACAAATTCAAGATGACCCTCATAGTTGTGTAAAAATAATCTTAACTTCGTGCGTATAGAAATAAACACAATTCTATATGGCAACATCATTACTTCTCTCATGTGTAATCCTACCGTAGTGTATTACAATATAATATGTTTATCTAATAGGTATATCCAAATATTGGTTTTCACTTTTTCGAAACACATCACATCTTCACTTTAAAAAAAAATAAAACAATGAATATAGATAATTTGCGCATTGGATAGGCCACTGGTATGTGTGCTATTGCATTACATTTCAAAGTGATAGTAATCATTCGATTTTAAAAACAATTTTATTCTCGAAACTTATTTTTGTGGTTTTATTTGAATTTTTTTGTGAGATAAAGGAAATACCTGCTGTAATTTTATGACAAAACGATTAAAATACGCGTCCGATTTCACATCGAAAATGTAATGTTTGAGTGGTAATTTAACCACACACGTAAAAGGATACATATTGGTGAAAAGCCATTCCCAATAAGTGGTGTTTGTATGAGATATAATTCCGCAGTCAACGATGGATAATTGAACATTTCCTGGAGGCATGGTGATAAAAAGCCGGATTTCTTTGGATGTCTATATATATATAGATATGAAGATACTTTCACTCGGCGTATTATTATATTGATTCAAGAAGACGAACGAAGACGAAAAAGGCCATTTATAATAGTGAGATCCGTTAAAAAACATGTGTCCTGCAAAATAATACATTGATATAACAAAATACGCGAGATTGAATATATATATATACATAAGGGTTTGATGTTGACAAGACATAGCGTATTGATACGGTCGCATTAGCCATTATGTGACTGTCATATCTTATGCGTCTGTCGATTAGGTACTTACACAACATCCGGGGTATTTAGGTATAATAATTTTGATGTCCTTAAAAATGTACGTTGATTTAATAATTTGTTTACTAAATTGAAATATATCTTATAACTTTCTGTTTTAAAATTATAAATATAATTTCAGAAAAACATTTTTATAGCCACTTAAAATGTTATTAAAATATAATAATCATATGATATGATATTTTAGATTCTGAGCAGGAGGGATGGACTGTATTGATTTTACAATTATGTGTATTTTTTTAATTTTTAATTTTTAATTTTTGTGTTCTGTCATTCCCCTTATCAGGAACGTAAAAACCTGCTTAGATTTCTTCAACTGTTAACAGTATCTTTTCTGATAGGGAAGTGCATCAGATTGTGCATTTCGGGAGGTTAAAATTTAATTTTTCCAGTGGTTTTCAAAAGCGCCGTGAAAACAAAAAAAAAATGAAGGAAACCGTGAATTTTAAACAACACTGGTTTTCGTCAAATTCGATTTTTGTTTTTGTTGTAACTCTAAACGACTGAACGTTATAAATGACCATTTTCGCTGGTTGTTTATACTTCGAATTTTCGATACACGATTATCGTTAAACTTCTGCAGAACACTTATTTAATAGAATTCAACCTAATTTTGCAGTTGACATTAAGTTTCTTCAATTTTTTTCACACTTTTGTAAATATAAAATCACAACTATAGGCACTTACATAATATTTCATATATATAGAAACACAGACATTAAACTATAGTTTATACCTAAGAATAAAAAAACTACAAACGTTAAAAACGTGCTTTGTACGTTTTATTTAATAAAAAGCCGAGATACGTTAAAAATAGTAAAGATTTATAATTAATATATAATGTAGGTATACCTTTATAGGACCTAACCTTAGATACCTAAATAATACAAATATATATGAATATGACAAACTAATTTACTAATGCCATTCGACTTTGTGTGTGACTGTGCGAGTACTCCATATTGTTTAATTATTATAGCCGTCGTTATGTTTGTGTATAATATATATGAAAACATTCATATTCACATTTTTGTATCAGAATTAATCTTAGATTTCCATATACCTTACTTATACAATTTACATCCATAATATATTTAATTATAGTTATCGGCATTTTTTTTCAATTTTATAACAACACGGATAACGTTGAATAGGTAGGTATTGAATTTTATAATATATTTTTACGTTTTAGAAACTTATAGCTGGAGTAAAGTCGACCAAATGTCAGTCCACATATCCACAATTCATAATATCAATAAAAGAAATAAGATTCTTGACGGTTAGGTATATGCAATCCATTCGAAAAA